TCGTCGTTGTCCCATAAACTTTCAAACCCTTTACAAAATTTAGGGAAAAAATTTAATTTAAAATAACAAAATTTTATTTTTTTTCCAATTTTGTAAGGGATTTGAAAGTTTCTGGAACAAGAAGGATATGAAAATTTAAATGTTTTTTATAACCAAATATATGAAATTAAATGTTTTTTATATGAAAATTAAATTTTTCCTCAAATTTTGTAAGGGGTTTGACAAGAAGGATACACAAATTTAAAGTTACCGTATTTATTGTTATGAAAAAAGAATCGAATAGGAGTTTCTGAGAGTTTCTGAGAGCAAGAGAAAAATAATAATAAGAAAAATGAATAGGCACACACAAAAGGGATAAGGATTTATACGTGGTTCACCCTCACAAGTAGGGTTACATTCACGGGTGATGATGATTCGAATCATTATAAAGAAGAAGATTACGAACTGAAGAACGTTTTGATTCTTCCTCACAATAATCTCTCTTTTTACACCACTCACTCACCAACAAAGAAGACTCACTCAACACTCAAGAAATATTCTAAATAGTATATGGTTTAAACAAAGAGAAAAACCCACCCAAAAACAAGATTTAAGTGTCACTTGAAGATTGCACACACAAAATGATTTTCTCACACAAACAAAATTAATATACTCTCTTGATCCGAATATTGTCTTACTCTTGGATGTCTCTCGGATGCTTCAAACTATGGAGGGCAAAGGCTATTTATAACCAAAATGGGACACCAAAATGAGGCTACTTGGTGACCACTCAAAAGACTTGTTGGGCACACATTCTTGGAGGCCAAGAATCTTGATGACATCATGGATGATGCAAGCCTCAAATTGAGCCATATGTTCAACAAGTCTCCACCTTGGCAAAAATTTCGAATGAGCCACAAAACTCCATCCTTGGCAAAATTTCTCCGCCTTAGCATAAATGATAAAACAACATCATAAAGAGTCTTTCTTTAACACAATGTGAGTAATAAAAATAACGCCATCATCATCTCCAACAGAAAAACAAATTAATAAAGAATTTTAGTTAAATTTGAGTCACCCTCAAACTTAACCCTCGGGCTCTCATTCTTCAACCCATGCATGTCTTGCGCAGCCATAAGCATACCTTCAGTATTTATGTCAAACTCTAAATGTTTACCAAAAGTAACCTCAAAAATTCCAAGTTTGACATCTCCTTCAACAACCTTCTCCAACCGCCCACAAACCACCGGCTGGTAATGAAAAGTCATCTTCTCACCCTTGTGGAGAATAGGACGTCCTTGACTTTTCCTCGCATCTCTGTTGTGACCAACTACTTGCCTCCCACGCATCTTAATGACACTCGAATGAACTATCTCATTGCCACCAAGATTATTGCAAGTCAATATCACACCTGTCCTCATAGGTTTGCCTCCCTGTAAGGATTGCTACAATTTCGGTTGCCATCTGCAAACGGATTTCGTTCTCCCTCCATGTTGTGTAGTCCCCTTACAACCCTTTTGAGAACTAGGATCGTAACTCCTCTTTTTATCTTTTCTTTTGCCAATACCTTGCTGAGTGAGAAGGGTCTGCATCTTAATGCGCCAAAGACTAAAACTAATCTTGCCATCAAATTTCTCAATCTCGTATTTTGTCGACATCTCAAAAACTCCCCAAAAACTCTAATACCAGTTTGTTATGAAAAAATGATCGAATAGGAGTTTATGAGAACAAGAGAAAAATAATAACAAGAAAAATGAATAGGCACACACAAAAGGGACAAGGATTTATACGTGGTTTACCCTCACAAATAGGGTTACATCTACGGGCGATGATGATTCGTATCACTATAAAGAAGAAGATTACAAATTGAAGATCGTTTTGGTTCTTCCTCACAATAATCTCTCTTCTTACACCACTCATTCACCAACAAAGAAGACTCACTCAACACTCAAGAAATACCCCAAATAATATATGGTTTAAACAAAGAGAAAAACCCACCCAAAAACAAGCTTTAAGTGTCACTTGAAGATTGCACACACAAAAGGATTTTCTCACACACACAAAACCAATATACTTTCTTGATTCGAATATTGTCTTACTCTTGGATGTCTCTCGGATGCTTCAAACTATGGAGGGCAAAGGCTATTTGTAACCAAAATGGGACACCAAAATGAGGCTACTTGGTGACCACTCAAAAGAGTTGTTGGGCACACATTCTTGGAGGCCAAGAATCTTGATGACATCATGGATGATGCAAGCCTAAAATTGAGCCATATATTCAACACTTATTATTATTTTTTTTCCTTTAAAATGAATCCGCATTAGCATTTAAATCCCACAACAGAGAATTGAAATTTGCATGTACCTAAATCCACCACCATTATGCCAATAAATCTAAATCTCTAGTAAAGAAGTTTTGACACTTTTTGTTTTGCACCCTCTTCGACTCACAATTTTAAAATGTGTTTAGACAATTAAAAAATGTCGAAGCATAAAAAAGTTAACAATTTTTCCCTCAGGCAATTTGGACCGTCAGTCATAATCATGCCCTGTTGAAACCCGGTGAGCATGCTCCCATCATTTTTTTACTGGACATCGACTTTAATACCATCTCTCACAATCTCTTTCTCAAATTTATGTAGATTATGTTAGCTTTACGCACTATTTGTACTCGCAATTTTAAAAAATATTAATTTTAAAAAATATTTACTCAATTAGAAGATATTCAGACATATAAGTGCCAAAAACTTCCGCAAATGATGAAGAATCATTTTCAATGATGTGATATTTACTGGGCATGCTAAACGTTTAATTGCAGCCTTGAATTCATCTGAATTAGTCTTTTAATGGTCAAACTAGGCTCAAACATAACATTAGTGTTTTCATATTTGGTTGGGACCCTTTTAGTAGGCTCTACAAAACTTTTTGCCAACACCCTTTAGTTTTCTAAATGGTGAATGTGTGATATAGTGGAGGAAGCATGGACACGGACACATGATACAAACGAGATGATATAACAAATTTTCAAAAAGAATTAGGATACAAATAGGACATGATTAAGTCAAAAATTAATAATATAGTATTTTATTATATATATAAAAAATATTCATTTTTATTCATTTTATCCACATAATCATGAATGAAAGTCCTAATTTGGAGTTTAGAAATAAATGTTTGTTATTTTAAATTTTATATTATTTTCCATATTAGTCCATAATATATTTTAAATTGAATTGAATTGCATTCTTTTAAAAATAATAATTACAAAATCACCTTGCTGTATTATAAAAGTGTCCAAAATGTGTCACGGTCGTGTCCAAAAAAAAAAATTAAATTTTAAATCAATAATTTTATACTTTAAAAGTCAAGGAAGTGCCTCTAACTACCGTCTTTGGAGGTGGATTTGAGAATTGACTGTCTGGAAAAAGAAATAAAGTTTGTTTCCCCGACTTAAAATTGTCATGGACATATCCTTTATACAAAAGTAGCGTGCTTTATTTATTTATTTTATTTTATTTTATTTATTTATTTTTAACTCAACTACACTAATGGAGTTGTTGCACATTCTTATTAAAATTAGTGGCCCTCCATATGTTTGGGCTTTATTTGTGCAATGTAAAATTTAAAAGAAAAAATTATATCAGTATATGATGATGCTCTTATGTGAGATTGCATCTTCGTGTCAGACAATATGATCATAAAACTCCCTACTAATGAAGGATAAAACTATAAAAGAACCTCACAATTTCATATAAATAGAGTTCTTAAGCACAACAATATGCAAGTGACTTCATTTATTTTATTTTATTTTATTTTAATTTTTGTATTAGGCATTAACATACCGACATACAAATAGAATTTACAACTTTCTCCTATTTGCTATCTTTTAAGCAAGCAAAATTTCATATATATATAGAATTCACAAGCACAACAATATGTAAGTGATTTTATTTTTTTCATTCAAAAATATATTGTTAGTTTTAAAAAAGGGATGAGAAAAATAGTTATGTGAGGGACATAACTATTATCCATTGTGTACTTGTGTGAGTACACTATAGCAGGGTTCACATTAAATGAGTAAATCTTTCTTAAAAAACAAAAGAAAAAAAAAATTATGCTCTTCATTTGAAATTCTTAAATATTTTGAATAAAATATTTTAAAAGGTGAGAAAATAGTTATTAAATAGAATTTACGAGATGATGACATTATCTAAATAATGGATAAATTAATAATTTAGTATTGCATAATGATGAACAAAGAAACTTGGATGGTCGAGTTTATTTTACAAACTTTTGATAGGTCAGGAGAATTATAGTTACATAAATTTGTTACCGAGTATTTGTAAAGGGAGATAGTTTTGGACAATTATTATATAATCTAAAACATGATTGGGGTTAATCAAACCTAACTAACACGTAAATAAAAATCTGAATAAGATAATTTATTTTATTTTATTTTGTGTGTGTTACGGGTACCATGTATTGCAATTTGTCATTTTTTGTCTTACATTTGCAAAGGGGCAGGCATATAAATTTAGTCCATTTAAAGACTCTAATCTGGGGATTTATTTGTAGTATTGGAGATTATTTGCAAATGTGTAATAATTACGGGAACCATTTGCATTTTTCCCAAATAAATTACTTTCCTCTCAAAAATCAGACTAAATTTGCAGCACAATAATCAAATCAATCCCATATAAAGAGTTGCTTCCGTCGCCGGAAACTACAAAGTCTTACCAAGTTCCATTTCAATTCAGGTCCCCCCTCTCTTTCTCTATTTATATATTTACACACACATACACATATTCATGTTTGAATTGGTCTGTTTGGATTCGCGTGAAAGGGTTTAACTCTTTATGGCTTGTGATCAGGACACACATTTGACCCAATCAATGCAAGATTACATAACATGTCAATGCATATATGTGATTGATTTTGATCATACAGAGTTAGACTAGGTTTTACAATCTTTTCAATTTGAAATCAGTGAATGTGTTATTTTCTATGAATTAATAGATGTATAACGCAAAAGGAGTTTAGTTATCTGAAAGGTATTGTTTCTGTGTTATCCTCTACAACTCAAAACATGTCTTATAAACAAGATGACAATATGTGTACTACTGTATCTACAGAAAAATTAAAAATAAAAATAGGCGTGTATATATATATATATATATATATGTTATTGTGATACCAAGTCTTTCAGGTGGGTGGTTGCATATTTATCTTGCAGAGGGTTGTAGGCACCCATTCGATAAGTCTGGGCTTTCAATGTCAAGAAAGCTTGTTAGTAGAGTCTTTCGTGAAGATTGAGCTTTTGAACTTCCTGAACGTGAAGATATTTTTTCACTTCCTTTTTCAATCTTGATTGCATCTTGTATGGCCAATATGATTTCCTGCATCCTTGGGCGCGAAACTCCATGCTGTTCAACACATTGGATTGAGACTTCAGCAATCCTCCATACCGACTCAATTTTGACACTTCCAGCTAGCAAAGGATCGATGATGCCAATTACATCCCCTTTGCGAATCAAAGACCTTGCCTGCAAACCAACAATTTGGAGTGATTGATATCTACACATGATTTCATAATAAGAGAGACATTAAGGTTGATATTTTTAACACCTTCTCGTACAAAAAACGACGGAACTTAGTTTTGTAATGATTTACCGATGTTAGATTTGCATAATTTACAACCATGCTGTCATGTTCACTTGTGACAATGCATATCTTAGCTTATTGATAGGAACTGAACATCCACACTTTTGGCGTTGTAGATGTCACCTTGACGCAGGATGACATCAAACAGGCATTATTTTGCTTGCTTGCTAATGAATCTGGCTTAGTGAGGTTTCTGTTTAAAACTCATTGAGATAGGTTAATAGAATTATTTCCCTGTTTCATTTTAATGATTGTTGGCTTGTTGCCTCTTTGGGTACCAAGTGTCGCGAAGTGAAAATCTATGCGGAAGGTTATCTAATATTGAGTCCTTTCTGTTGGTTTTTGTCTTCACATACTTCTTCAATCTTGTATGGACGGATTATAAATCAGGTTATATCTTATTCCTTTATCATATTCAAGTATAATTGGATATCTTTTTACATTAGAATGTTTGAGATGTTTAAATAGTGACAGCTTATTTAGGCTTTCTTAGTATTAGAAAACATATTGTGGTCCATTCTTTTGAATAGAAATGTGATCATTTAAATTACCCATATACATTCTATGGAAGATTCTAAGGCTATTACCGATTGCTGCCTACATCCCTATGTGTGTTTGATGAGTAAAATTTGGAAGTCTTTGTACAGAGACGCATCTACAATTGTGCTTGCTTGCACACGCATAACAAATGTATGTGCACACAGATGCACAAGCAAACACAGAATTATTATATAGCTAATAGAGGTGCTAAAAAAACCACAATATTCTCCGACAGACTAGGTTTAGGACAAATAATCATGAGCATATCAACTTAAAGACTTCTTGGGGGATTTTTTATCTTAACGAAACCCAGCACATCCTTTTTCTTGCCCTGTATTATCCTATGTTGAAATTGTTTGAGCAGAGTTCTTAATTTTATCATGATTTTCTTAAGGATCAGATGCCTAAAATTTAAAGTTACTTATAAATATGGATAAATAATTGCGTGCATTACCCAGTGAACAATGTTCCAATCAGCCCCATAATCTTCTGTTGAGATAGGCTTTCTTCCAGAGATCAGTTCCAAGAGGACAACACCAAAACTGTAAACATCACTCTTTTCAGTCAATTGCTGATTCCCATAGTACCTGTTAAAAAAAATACATTAGTCAATCTTATGTTGGAGGAAACACATTACCTGTATGCAGACACGGTAAGTATGGCTTACTCAGGATCAAGGTAGCCTACGGTTCCTCGTGCCACACTTGAGATATGGGTTAGATCTTCCTCAGCTTGTCTTGAAAGTCCGAAATCAGATACTTTTGCCCTCATGTTGATGTCTAGGAGAATATTGCTTGTTTTTACATCTCGGTGAATGATACTAGGGTTGCATCCAGTGTGTAAGTACTCGAGACCTGCATAAATCTCAAGTTGTTATTACGCTGTTCATCGAAATTTCATTTACACAAGGAGAGAAGTTCTAAATCAACCTTTAGCTGCATCTTCTGCGATATGAAGACGAGCTAGCCAGTCTAGGTGCTTCTGGTTGACAGAATCTGTTAGCAGATTACATCATGGATCTCGTTTAGCCTTTTTATTGCAACCGGCAAGACAAAATAAAAATAAAAATAGACCAATTAATGTATTGGTGGAGTGGCAGACCATGAATGTGATCCCGCAAGGTTCCATTGTGCATGTATTCGTAGACAAGCATTCGCTGATGTTCTTCTTCGCAGTATCCAATTAAAGGAACCAAGTTTCTATGATGAATTCTTGATAAGAGAGCAACCTGTGAGCATGCTTTCTTGTTAGTGATTTGAAATTCATGATAATGTTCACATGCTTTGGCTATAATTAAGATTTATTTTATTGTCATTGAATTCATTTGCAAATGAATTAGAGAGAGTTCCATGTCAACCTTCAGCTAACATTCAAGTTCTATTTCCTTGACCATTATGTTTATGAGTTTGTGGGTGACTTCCTAGCTATAGTACTTAAGCAACTGTAGGATATCGAACCTTAACTAACAGTTTCACTTCCATGTAAATAAATGTTGTAGGAAGTTTATGCACTAACCAAGAGAGGAGAGGGGGGGGGGGGGGGGGAGGATTGGGGGGAAGAGAGAGAGAGATGCAAACTAGGCTGATTAACGCTACCTCAGTCACAAATTGTTGGGTTCCGTGGCTGGATGAATCAGCCATGATCTTAACTGCTACCTCTTTTCCGTCTTTCATTTTGCCATAATAGACAGGTCCAAAACTTCCTTTTCCAATTTTCTTTGAAAAACTATTAGTTGCTTCTTCTATATCAGATAGTGGAATGAAGTATGCCACTCCTTCATCCATTAAATGTCCCCCTCTTGCAATTGAGTAACCGATTGAAGACTTGTTGTTGGTGCGCAAAGAATCACCTAATAGGCAAAAGAAACATATGTCAGATGAAGGTGACCTACATCATGAGAAGTAATAGATGGAAATTTCTAGGGTACATACCTTTGTCATCACTTTTCTGATAAGATGTCTTCCTTCGAAGGTTATGTAGTAATAGCAAACTTCCTAAGAACAGAACAAGAAGAATTGCAAGTACTCCGACTGAAATTCCAAGTATCAACCTATGATGTTTCTTATGCTTTGCTCCTTGACTTAGATGAGGATTACCTTCATAGCTGAAACAAAAAATATTGCGGTTTCTTATCCAAAAGAAACAAATTAAGAAAAAGAAAAGGAAAAAAATATTGTGGCTTATAACTAGTGTCCTATGCTAGAGTTCTGAGAAATCCCTCTTTTTTTTCTCACATACGTGCATGAATTCACTAACTTGATATTTTATGTCATTGACAGTATTATGTCTAAGTGTGTATCTAACAACAAATTATTCTCCTTATGCGATATTTATTGGAATTGTTTGTGCATAAATTTCTATATTTCACTTGGGTTTCTTGATTGTGTATATATATGTATATATGGATGCATATTAATATATATATTTTTCATGCAGAAGTTTAGGTAATCCCATTCACATTGTTTGGAATTGTTAATAGATCTTAGTTAAACATTTGAAGACGTTGGTTCAATATTCATATAAATATGGAGTCTCGATGGCATTGCAACTTTCATAAATTACTTATTGGGATAAGAAAGGAGATATCTTATTCCCTCAGAGAATGATGTTGAATGACCCATGCATTCTTGTATTTTCCATAGTGCCTTACACTCATTATACACATTGATTAGAAGCACACTCACTGTTTCTGGTTTGAGTTAGAAGCATACTCACTTAAAAATTACTATTCCTGTCAATAATGTTGGAGGGATCTCCCCACTTAAAGAGTTGTTCTGCACATACCTGTCATGAGGATTATAGAATTACAGCATATTCAATGCATGTCAGGAAAAACATCTTCAGTTTAAAATCATAGATGGATTTTATTGAAAGCAAATCGACCCATTTCCTGAAAATTTCAGACTTGAAATTTCCGAGGATAGGAAATGGCTAATCCAATTCAATGGTCTAGGAGAAGATAAAGATATGCATATTAGTACATACAATTCTTGTAAGCTTGGCAAGGTACCCAAGTAAGAAGGTAATGGACCACTCAGGTTGTTATTCTCTAGATGCCTGCATGTTTGCCAAAGATAATGATGAGTCACTATAATAATGGATTTTTCAGTGTAAGCTAGTGGGATGCAAAACAGTTTAGTTGAGAGCTTACACAATTTTTAAATTGATAAGATTCCTTATGTCAGGAATTTGCCCAGTGAGGGAGTTGCTGTCCAACCACCTATAAGAGAACAGAAACCAGTAACTAGATTAAGGAAGGAATTCATAAACGAGAATAAGTTCTATTCATAGCATGACTGCACTTACAACTCCGTCAATTCCTCCATGTTCTTAAGCTCAGATGGGATTTTTCCGTCCATGTTCTTTCCTGACAGCACACTGTTTAAACTGGTTATTGGAACCGGAAGTCCATATTGTTTATCAAACAGCATATAAGAATGTTTGGCATTTATTCCCCAGTATAAAATCCTCCATGTATCTGTTTTTATAGATAACATGACTACATGAGCTTCCATCTATTATATTATGCTGAACCCCTTGATTTTTCTAGGATAAGAATATCAGAAGAAATTTCCATAATACAAACCTCACACTAAATGTGCATTTTCTACCATTGGGTTTAGGGCCAGTCCCGGTTTCCAAATTTTTCTGATAAATTTTATTTTTCAGATGGGCTATATATGTTTTCTGATGTAGTCCAACAGCAATTAGTTGAAATTTTGACAAATCATATCCTCAGTTAAGAAATATTTCAAATGAGTGAATGAATGAAATGAAATTAGTTGAACATTGTTCTTGCATTTTAATTAATAGATGCTTGGGTTATTTATTTATTTATTATTATTTTTAATATGATGTGGTGTTGCACTGAATTCTGAAATAAACAGTAACAATTTTAAGGACTTACATTTTTGTGATTCTTGTTGGTATGGTAGAGCTGCACGTAACCCATTCCCAGTGAGCTGGATTGCAAGGATCACCGTTACTTTTCCGACCACTTTCAGCAGACATGGAGCAAAAGGCATCGAGGACATCCACTTCCATTTAGAAACAGTAAGACCAGTTAGCTCACACTGTTATAGCATTTGATTGTGTGTCATATTTTCAGGCAGCAGCGACCAAATAGTAATCACTAATAATATTATCCTATAGATAGAGGGAGGGATTATTGAAAGTAAAGCATGCCCAATAATGTCTTACCATCTCTTTCATCTGTCTTTGAGGCAATCAGTAAATATTTACTTATTTCAATTGCATTTAGTAGCGGTCCTTGAGTAGAATCCCGGGTCTTTTCAAAGGAGAATGACAGAACAAAATCCAGTGATACATTCATGTAGCTGGGTTCATACAGAGTGTAGCTTCCATTTGCATTCTCAGCAATATTCACAACAGCATTGCTATAGTCAGACATATAAGGCTCCTTCATTTGAAATTTCCGGGTCTCATTCATCCGCAAGTCTTCAATTTCAGCAAAGTATGCATAAGCTCGAGCATTGGCTGGGAAGTCCTCTAGGTTCAATCTGTAGCTGATCTTGCCTTGAGTGCCAACAACTGCAGTTTGCATAACTTTGACAGGCGGATACTCTCTTGTTTTAATGTCTATGTTCTTTGTTGTATTGATTCGTTCTGTGCCAGTGGCTGCCCCTACTAGATAATTCTGCCTTCTATCAAGATCTGAATCCCATATTCGGTCATAAGGATCATCCGGGTACCTGAAAACAAACATTTTGGTATTTATTTACAATGATGGTATATAATAGATGTAAACATTTCCCTAACTAGCTTTTATGCCATGTGGGTTACTATTGAATTTGATCGATTTCTCTGCTTTGTTTCTTTTATGGTTCTAATGAACTTAATGTCAATTGTGAACATCTGAATGCTTCACATGAATTTATTGTCAGTTCAGAGCTTATAATTACCTTATTGCTTCCTTGCTTGGAGCCCCAAAATTTACTCTCGCCGCTACTTTTAAAAAGAAAGCATCCTCGAAATCTGTAGCATACATTGAATGATTTAAAGGCCGCAGCTCAAGTGTGGATATGAATGGAGAACCTGTTGTTGCACAGCACAAGCACACATCGATAGAAGTTGAAGGTGCCCTGATGATCATTTCCTTCCAATACACTCTGGAAGCATCCAACACAGTTACAGTTGACCACTTAGTTGCATCCAAGTAGAGCTGAAATTTGGGGTATGTATCTACATTTACCGAGCTGCCGTATAGAAATGTTGCTCGGACAATATACCGCCTCCTTTCTTCTGTGCTTAGTGTGTAACAGTATTTGTTGCTGTCTGTGGGGAAGTCTCGGCGCCTTTGATACTGCAGCCTGTCTTCGTCTGATTTCTCCACTGCTACTGATTTGCCATGGCTCATGATTTCAGTGTCCGAAATCCATGCTAACCCGGTACGTGGATCTGTGTAATTACTTGCTCCGCCACAATCTATGCTGACAAATTCTGCGTGTTGTTTTACTTTTTGGTTATTGCTTTACTTTAGACACTCATGATTTTCATTACCATAGAAACTCGAAAGAAATCTAGTTTACTGATTCTAGAAGAAACTGGTTGCTTGTCTTCCCTGGATTTGTGTGTGTGTGTGTGTGCTAGCTTGTATCTGTGTATGTGTTTGTTTGCATGCTTGTGTGTGTCTGTAGGCTTGGATTGAAATTCTTTTTGCAAGTTTCCATATTTTTTCTCTTTCAGCATGCCAACCTTATATATGCTATTGAATTAGACTTCAGAATATGAATACCAATTTATATTTGTTTCCTCATCAAATTGAATGAAAAATTTCTAAGATTTTAGTGGAATAGATGTAAAGAGAACATACCTTTAACTTGGCACTCAACAGATGGTAGAAAGCATAGAAATAAAACAAGGAAATGGTAAAATAAATCCATTGAAGATCAAGAAGAAGAGAAATCAATCCTTGGAACTTGTTTATGTTTGAATCATATCAGTGATTGAATCAGAACTCTTTGAGTTTGACATGTCACCAATCTTTCCTTCACTTGCTTTCACTTTTGTGATTGGTTACTTTGGACAATGTTCATTCACGTTTTAGTCTCTTGCTGATTTCAAATCTGCTTTTTCTTATAAAAGACACACTTTGTTTATTTTCAGGTCCACCTTTTCTTCCTTGGGGTAACAGTGAGTGTACATGACACAAGCTCAATCTATAAAGTAAGAAGGGTTCACATTTTATGCTTTATTGTTTATTTATTATTGTTTTAAAGTGTTATTCATCTACTTTTACTGTCAGAAAAGAGATGTAAGGACCTACTTGTGATAACACGGGAATGGCATGACACGACCATACCAGAGATGATTGATCTGGTGGGTTGAAAATTAACGATATGAAGTGTTTTCATTTCTTAATTGTCCATTTTTTTGCTCATCTAATTTTTTTTTTTTTTTTTTTTAGTTAGGTCTTTTGAGATTTAAGTGAGAAGTGTTTAAAACTGTGACACTCCAATTTGTTGAAATGGTGTGTCCTAAGCTAAATCCTGAGGGTGTGTTCGGTTACATGGAATTGGAGTTTTGAAATTGAAATTTGTAGAATTTGAAAAAATTTTGGTTCAATTTTCTTAGTAGTTGTTTTTTTTAAAATTCTATCAATTTTAATTCTAATTTTAATTTCAAGACTTCAATTTTATATAACCGAATACATAATGAATGAATATTTTTATAATAATCTTCAAATCTAGCATGTAACGTGAATTTTCTTATAATTATCTTCAAATCTGGTTTGTAACGTGTTGTTAATCTCATTATTGTTGTTATTAATTTATTAATTTTGTTAGATATGGAAGTAAAGAAGGTTTTCCTTAGCCATGCAAACGCATCTATCTAAAAGAAAACGTAGAATCAGATATGGAGAAATATTATTGTCTTGTTTGCTTTAATTGCCTTTTGCTTTTGATAACAGCAATCTTTTTTTTTTTTTTTAACTCTTTGGTTGTCGTCACTTTGGACCAACTTGTCTTTAGCTTTGCTAAAGTTCGAAAAAGTATGGAGTCCCCCATCACCATCACTGTCAGTGGTACCTAATGCGAATCTCTCTCACAGACACGGAGCGGGTATGAGAACTTTTTACATAATTCAGAATCCCAATAATCTAAGGCTAGTTTGGTGTGTAAGAATGAAATAGAGTGTAAATAAAAAGAAGCTGAGAATGGAATGACAATGATAATTTTATTTTAGTGTTTGGTTGGAAATATGAAATGTTATAAATATAGAATGATGATTCTCATTCATGTGTTTGGTTGAACCAATTTAAAAGTTAGAATGGAATTAATTTACGTTGATTTCTCCATATTACCCTTTATAATGAATAAAGAAATTTAACTTAAAAAAAATATAATAAATTTAACAAAAAAATTAACGTAAGAAATTAAATTGGGATAAGATTAAGGCAAGAAGACAAGAAGATGCATGCTGAGAAGATGTGATCAAACAAAGGGGAGGCGTCTTTGGTGACGGTGGTGAGATAAGGGATAGTGAGAGAGGAAGACGGAAGAAGAAGAGGAAGTCGAATCTGTCTCCGGTGGCGGAGGGACGGTGTAGGTGAAACCAACGCTTAGAGACGAGAGAGGCGGTTGGGTTGTGTTGTGTTGTGGTCTTGTATGTTCCACCGTTGAGGAAGGAAATGATGATGATGGCGGCTGGGTTGTTTTGATGATAGCGGCGGTTGGGTTGTGTTTATGTTCCACCGTTGAGAAAGGAGATGATGATGGCGGCGGCTGGGTTGTGTTGTGTCATCGCCATGGTTATAGGCCGTGGAAGGAACTCCAAAGTAGATGGGTTTAGAAAAGAGATGATGAACAGGTTTTTTAGGTATAATTTTTTTAATCATATTCTATGTGGGAATGGAATGCCCATTCCATTGGTAAAAAGAATGAATGATTTTGGTGAAATGACCATTCTCCGAGAATAGTGGAGAATGATAATTTCACCTTTAATAGCCCACACCAAACACAAGAATGGAAAGAAAAACATTTCATTCCTTCTTATTTGATTTCATTCATCCATACCAAACATGACACAAATGTAATCATCTCATGTGATTAGTCGGAATCATGTAATCTCAGATCGAGTAATAATTTCTTGAGAGGATAATGTCTTTTTATCTTCCTCTTTCTTTATTATTATTATTACTATTATTATGACCATGAGTGTATCCACTTGAATCAGCTGAGTGGCTAAGACTACTCTTCTCCATGTGTGGTAGATGTTAGAGGAGCTTATCTCACATCGGATTCTCATAAAAAAAAAAAAAAAGAAAAAAGAATGGGATATACGAGAGTAGGTACGCAAAGAGTAACTAGGGGTGGGCTTATCCCGAGCGATTTAGTTCTCACCTAAATTTTTTAGAGTAGTGGGTCATATAGTATCATTAATCATGGGTCTTTTAATAATTTATTTTCCTAGTTATTAAAATTTGAGATGACCCGAATAAACTCGTGAAACTCGTGTTACGGGCTGAGATGTGATGGTTTTTCGGGACTTGAACTTGACACGGGGTAATGCGTTAGAACCTTGGGTTTGGTGAGAGCTAATCCCTTGGCCCACCCAACCCCTAACTACATTCGTCAGAACTAGACTCAATCATTGATATACCTAACCAATCAAATCTATTTTCTTCAAATTGGTTGCATGTCATGTCCATATAAATGCAACGCAACAAATAGAAGGAGGGCTTTGAAAAAGAATCGGAAATTAGAAGAAAATAATATCTTGCAAATTGTTTATTCTTTATAATTATTTTCTTTTTCGAGAAAAGGTATTGTTTTTTTTTTTAAAAAAAAGAACTTTGTAGCTTAGAGCAACTCCAATAGTGTGCTATATGGGCTGTCATTTTCAAAATATAGCAGGTGGGCTTAAAATGGACTCTCCAATGGGTTGTCAATTAGGTTGCCAATTTTTAACTTTACTAAATCTGGTGCCAAATGAGGCACAACAAATAACTACTGCTATTTCAGAAATAGAAGAGAATGGCTGCACAGAGAGAGAGAGAGAGAGAGAGACAGGGTTCAGATATATATACTTTATATTGTAAATATATATATATTTAAAAAAGATCATAAAAAATTTCACCAAATAGGATTTAGTTTGCAAAACAAGAATTACAGACCCTGATTAGTTGATTTAGAAAAAAAATTAAAACAAAACCCATACATACAAGTTAGCAGTTGCAGAAAGAGCTTCTGATTCTTGTAGATTTTGTAGTTTGTAGTTGCATAGAGAGAGAGAGAGGGCAAGTTCAAAGTCAAGAACGAGAATAGAGATGGAGGCGATTGGGGAGGCTGAAATGATTTGCCCTATGTTTTGATAGGGTCTGCTTGTTATGTAAATGACAAATTTACCCATTTATTTTTATATAATTTACATTCTTATCTTTTACATTGGATTTGATAATTAATTTTTATTTTTTATTAAATTTTTAATCAGGCAAATAAGCTAAATAAAATACAAACACTCAAAAAAAAAAAAAAAAATTGGTTATTGAAAATTGGTACTTGAAAATGATAGTTGAGAATGATAGTTGGAAAAAAATAGTTGTTGTGTCAACAAATAGCATTTTGGATGAAATGCACCATTGGAACAGAGTTGTTAAAATATAACATTTTGACACTGTACCTCCTCTCAAAATATAGATTTGGTATGCAAAAATGACATTTTGTATTGCAGATGGTCTTAGGGGATTGGCGTGTGAGGGCTCACATAAAAACCCTCCTGCTATTGGTTGCGTTGCATTTATATGGGCATTTTAGAAAAGGTAAAACTATATATAAGTAAACTTAGTACCCTTAAATAACAAAATAGTCTACTTTTAAAGTTTATTTTTCAATTTGATTGAATAAAATAAAATAATTACAAATACATCAATAATAATTATTAAGGTCCAAAACACCTTCCAAACTCTTATTCTAAAATACCAAAATATCCTTAGAGTTATATAATTTCAAAATACCAGATGTCAATTAAGAAACTATTGAATTTTGACGGTGAATCCTAAGTTTGGAAGGAGCTTGGAAGGAGCGTGAGTGAGAAAATTTGTGAAGAAAATCAAATCCATTGTAACAAATATGACAAAAGATTAGGGAATATCTTACAAATCCAAATTTTTTTTACACGGCATTTTCTCCCTCCTTAAATGTACTATTTACATGTTTATACATATACCATATCTTCAATTAGATATGGTCTGATTTTTTCTTTCTTTTTTATTTTCTCTTCAATAGTAAAATTTGGGATCAACCCTAAATGTCTATGGTTTGAGTTGTGACTCATGTTCTTAATTTTGAAATAGATTTTCACTCTTCAATGAGACTTTCTCTCTTCAATTAGATCTTTTCTGATTTCAAAATTTTTGGAATTTTTTTTTTTTCTGGGTTATATATGTAACATTCTGGATATAGATCAATTGACCCAAGAACCAAAATTTTCACTTTATCCTTTATTTATTTTTGGTAAGTAAATCATTGTAGATAAAAAGATGAAGCTTAAGCCACTGTACAAGAGATATGAGGAAGACAACAAAGACAAGCCAATTCATCAAAGTGGTTGTTCATACTGGAACGAGAGGAAAAAAGAGAGAGACGATGAAGATAGAGAAGGGCACGGAATGAAGAAGAGAAGATAGAGGGAATGGAAGCCAATCTAATTGAAGAGAGAGAGAGAGAAACGTCCTTTTGGAATAAAAAAAATGGTAAGAAGAATCGGACCAAATTAGGCTCTAAAATATTGGACCAAGTATCATTATTCTTATATAATTATAAGGATATTTTAGTATTTTAGAATTAGAGTTTAAGGAGTATTTTGGATCTTAAAAATAATTATTGATGTATTTGTAATTAATTTGCTTAATTTAATCAAATTGAAAAATGAACTTTAAAATTAGATTATTTTGTTATTTAAGGCTACTAAGTCTACCTGTACGTAGTTTTCTCTTTAGAAAATCGAAAATTATAAATAAATTAAAAGTTACCCATTAAAAGTGGAGTAATGAGTAACTTCTTACAGAATTGTGGGCTGTGAGTGTGTTCTTTAAGGGCAATTAAGTTTTTTTTTTTCCCCCCAAAAAAAAAAAAAAAAAAAAATTTGAATTG